AGCTTGAGGCTCTGTCTCAAAAACAAAACAAAACAAAATAGTATCTAGATCATGTGGTATTTTCTGGCCCTATGTTACATGTATGAATATAAGACCAGGAGACACAATGACTGCAGCAACACAGTGGCTGCAAGAAATGTTTCACAAAGAAAGAGGAGATGAAAGAAGACAAGGGAGCTGGGCTCCAGTACACAGGTGTTCAGGTTAAGGAACTGCCTATAAGAAAACTGGAAACCTATATTCTATAAGAGGACTGGAAACCCCCATCAAGCAGAGAGTGTGCAGTTCACTCTGGGTCACTAGATGGCACTGGCCAGTCTCCTTGGGATCCAAGTTTCTTAGCCCTTTGCCTAGATCAGTAGCTGCCCTGTGGCCTAGGACCTTCTTCAAGAGCATTTCTCCCAAATATGTGAATAAAATTAAGCCTTACTACTATCAAATACATAAGATTCTTAGTCACGTAGGTGTTTAATATGTAAATAAAGATATGCTTAAACAGCATTATATTCTCTAAATATTCACTATTCAGAGTATGGGATTAAAGAGATTCGCTCACTGGTGCAGAATGAGAAAGGGTTATACAGTGAGAGTCTGGCCACCAGAATTCTTCTGGGTATCATGCATGAATACTCAGTCTCAAGCAATGAGCTTTTTATTCTTTTAAATAACCAGCAGTGAGATGTAAAAAGAGCTATGGCCTGAGAGTTCAAGGCCTGTCTCCCAACCTCATTAGTCACAGGAACGTGCAAAAGTTAATAACTTAGGGCTTCAGTTTTCTCACCTGTAATATAAGATGAGCCTGGTTTTATCATTTTCTTGTCATTAATATGAGATATGACAATTAAGTTCCCAAACTCATACCAGAAACAGGGCTACATACTCATTACTGGATATCACTACAGTCATCTTGGACATACTGCCCTTGGGAAGCTGTGCACCAAGGTCAGCTCTTAGTCCACCCTTCAAAGCAATTTTAGAACTCTTTTACTGGAATGACCATCAGAACTGTCCCCATATAGCACATAAAAACACACCACAACAATAATAAATACCATTCAGCAAGATACATTGACGTGAACACAGCTGTGAGACAATGATACACCAAGGTTATGAAAGCTTACTGGGTTGTTTGTACAGTGCTGCCAATGTCAGTGCATGGTGGCAAGTTTATGAACATAATTGTCAGAACTTGGATGATGGCAGCTCTGTTAGTCATTCCAGAAAAAGAGTTCCAAAATTGCATTGAACAGTGGACTAGGGGCTGGCTTGAGTGCATAGCTTCCCAAGGGGAGTACGTCAAAGGTTTGATATTCAGTAATGATGTATGTAGCACTTTTTCTAGGATGAGCTCACAAACTTAATTGTCAGACCTTGTATACAAAGTAAACTAACTTACATCAAAGGGAATTTTGAATACAGCCTTAACAAGTGTAAGTGAAGAATCTAACCTGTTTAAATCCTGGGCTCACTCTCATCTGCAATTCTAAAAACATGAGTCTCAGCTTACCTATTTTCTAAGTGAAAGTCTATTATTTTTAGTAACAATGTGCATTATTTGGTAACTAGATTAGACGCCTTTTTGCAAGTATAGCAAACTTCAACAGTTTATGTAATCTATTTTTGTCATCATCATCCTTATTTTGCCTAAAATTATTTTACTAATTGGGGGAAATCTAATGTTTTGGAAAGCATAGGCAAAATATTGTTAAAATACATTTTTAAATAACATAAATATTAGCTTTTTTTTTTTTTTGAAATAGGGTCTCACTGTTGCCCCAGGCTAGAGTGCATTGAGGTCAGCCTAGCTCACAGCAATATCAAACTCCTGGGTTCAAGCGATCCTCCTGCCTCAGCCCCCACCCCCCCCAGTAGATGGGACTATAGGCACCTGCCACAATGGCCCCTAATTTTTCTGTTTTTTGTAGAGATGCAGGTCTTACTCTTGCTCAGGCTGGTCTGCTCAAACTCCTGAGCTCAAGAGCTCCTCCCACCTCCGCCTCCCAGAGTGCAAGGGTTTTAGGTGTGAACCACCATGCCAGGCTGAATATTAGCTTTTTATTTTGGAATAAAAAAAAAATTGGGCTGACAAATATGTCTCAGGCACTTTTTAAGAACTAGATATAACAAAGTCCCTCCCTTAAGGATCTTCACCCACTGGGAAGAAAGAAAATAATTATTATCACATGCTAACTGCTGATCTAGAGCCAAGTACAAGGTTCTAGGAAGCAAAAGGATGATTGCACACCCTGGTGTGGATGTCAAAGAACATCAGCGAAAGCTTCCTGGTAGGGGTGATTCCTGATCTGGAAGACTAGAGCTGGGGTAGGCTCTCTGTGCATTGTTCAGAGGCACCCTGCCAAGATGGTGAGCGGGAGTCAAAATCAGCTCCCCAAGCTCTGATGGAGGTCGGAAGTCAAAATCAGCTCCCCACGCTCTGACGGAGGTCATGTTGGCAGGAGGAAAGGGACCCCTGTTCTTTGTCAAAAGTACCATCTGCTTGTCAAATATTGAATACTGCTAGGCTGTGCTTTAACGGGTGTTTCTTTCTTTAAATAATCTGCCCAGAACAGCTGGGCACTTTTTCTAAACGAGCAGCAACAGCTCTGGAGCAAAGAAGGTAGAAAGAAAGAGGCAGGTATCCAGAGAGAAGAACTAGATCCCAGCAATTGCTAGTAGGCCCGGACTGCTTGAGCATTGAACGGCTGAAACTGCTGTCTGTATGAAGGGCTTTGTGTGTTATGATTAAGGAGTATGACTTTGATCTTGAAGAAAGTAGGAGGCCATTGGTAGTTAAAAGGTGGCTTGAATGACTATAGTGAGATTTACATTTGGGGGAGTTCCTTCTAGCTGCTATATGGAGGAGGATGATCTAGGAAGAAGCAGGGAGGTCTGTTAGAAACCTACGTAGTGACCCATTCTTCTGCATTATGACAGCCCCAAAGGAACCTATGCAGCACTGGGGCTGGTGAAACCAACTATCTAGTACATCTGCAGGAAAGCACTATGGTTAATGTATGACCCAGACTTCCCAGGATGGTCCTTAAGTCCTGGTTCATTACGTTCTGACCCACATTTGTTCTCGTTAGAACTGTTTCTATTTCCAGCAGTGATAGTGTAAATAAGATCAGGTGTGTGTGCATCCATGTATGTGGGCATGCCTGTGTTTGTTGGAGATTCAGAAATTCTGCCAGCAGTGACTAATTAGGGAACTTGTTCAGGTCAGAGGTAATGAGCACACAGCTTAGAACGGTGGCAATAGAAAAGGAAAGGAAGGAAAGGACAAACAAGGACGTTGCAGAGGAAACAGGGACTTGGAAACCAGTGGGGCACCAGGAGAAAGGTAAGAGATAACTTGTTCCAAAAGATTTCCCGTAGAACTTGGAAGGTGAGCTCAATTAAAACAGACAAAATCAACTCATCTTTTTCCAAATGCTGGCTATCATATGTAATTTCCAGAGCCAAATTTATAGTTGGAAAGTATGAACACGAGCAGTTAGAAGAACAAATTTCCAAAGTTACCATGTGAAGAACAATAGAAAATAGAGCTTTTTCTTTTCTTTTCTGTCTTTCTTTCTTTCTTTTTTTTTTTTTTTTGAGACAGAGCCTCAAGCTGTCACCCTGGTGGAGACAGTGCTGTGGCATCACAGCTCACAGCAACCTCCAACTCTTGGGCTCAAGTGATTCTCCTGCCTCAGCCTCTGAAGTAGCTGGGCCTATTGATGCCTGCCACAATGCTCGGCTATGTTTTGGTTGCAGCCCTCATTGTTGTTTGGCAGGCCTGGGGTGGATTCGAACCCACCAGCTCAGGTGTATGTGGCTGGCACTTTAGCCGCTTGAGCCACAGGCACCGAGCCAAATAGAGCTTTTTCAAACAGTATGTTTATCTTTTGCTTCTGAGTGAAATTTTGCAGTGTTTACTATGGTTTTTCAATTGAGCTGGATTAGGAGGTGAGAATATTTAAAAATTTTAGAAAATTGTACTAAAGACTTGGTTCGAGAAACCTTGTTCTTTCTCTCATTAATGAACACTCTAGCATTCCCCGCAGAATTGAGAACGTCGTTATCTCCAGACGAATAATTTCAGTAATCTTGGGAAATCAAATATCCGCGCAACAGCAATAACAATGTCTTTTACAGCAAGTTTTACTCTATGCCAATAATTTTATTGGAATTACCCAAGATAAGGACATAAAATCCCTTTAAGGGAATTAACTTTAAACCCCTTATTAAATAGGACTCCTCGTGCTTTGGCCATTCCAGGTACTTACTCGGCCTCTTCTTTTCTTCTCTCTATGGGGTAGGGTTGAGTGTGGTCTTGTCAAAGTTGTGATTTATTTTTTGATTTGTGATTTACTTTTTTTTTTTTTTTTTGAGACAGAGTCTCAAGCTGTCCCCCTGGGTAGAGTGCCATGGCATCACAGCTCACAGCAACCTCCAACTTCTGGGCTCAAGCGAGTCTCCTGCCTCCGCCTCCCAAGTAGCTGGGACTATAGGCGCCCGCCACAACGCCCGGCTATTTTTTGGTTGCAGCCATCCTTGTTGTTTGGTGGGCCTGGGCCAGAGTTGAATCCACCACCTCAGGTGTATGTGGCTGGTGCCTTAGCCACTTGAGCCACAGGTGCCGAGCCTACACTTATTTTCTATTTAAACTGAGTGAGAGTCAGTTATAAGGGGTTTTTTTTATGTTGATTTTTTGAGACACTAAATTACTGTCCTGTTCTCAGTTGAGCCTTCAATGTAAAAACAAACAGAAGCCCTGTATGTGTTTGTGTGTGTGTATTTGCCCCGGGGTAGAAGGTGAGAGTTGGGGAAGCAAATAAGAGAAACCTTTTAAGGGCAGCCTTGGGGCATAGGCGTCTCTTGTTCCCTTCAGAGACCAAATCTGCCCCAGTATAACATGGCTGCTTTAAAAGATCTAGGTTCATTGACCCCATATTTTTTCTGAGTATGAAAATCAACTATGTATAAAATTGCTGAGACTGCTTAACTCAAAGATTAAAATATGAGAAAGTAGGCAAAAAATCTAATTACATTGGAAAAGTTATTGATAGAGAAACAGGCTGTGCAAGCAAACCTCATATGTTAAAAATACACTCTGAATCCGAGCATAGGTGCTCAAGCTGCTTGCTAAAGACAGTCACATGGGGCACAGCAACATTTTGGTTAACAATGGACCACGTATACGACGGTGGTCCCATAAGGTGTAATATTGTATTTTTATGGGACCTTTTCTATGTTTAGACACACAATTATCTTCCAGTTGCCTGCAGCATTCAGTACAGTAATATGCTGTTCGCGTTTGTAGCCTAAGAGCGATAGGCCACACCAGGTACCAGCTGGGTTTATGTAAGCGTCGTACTTGATGACTGCATGCTGAAATCGCCTTATGACCCATTTCTCAGGACCCATCCCGTGACACGTGACTCTTTCATAATTAACTTGCCCTGAGTAAGGATGTGGGTGAGCTGGAAGACAAGTTCTTTTCTCTTCATCTGTGCCTTTTTTATTATCATTTCATCAGTATCTGAGAGTCAAAAGATGGTGTTTTGTATTCCAGTCAAAGAACTTGGGATTTTTCTTTCTTCTCTCTCACTGTTTTGTTTGTTCCTTTATGATTATGAATTTGAGCGTGAAATAAATACGTTTAAGCTATTGTTGGCAGAAAGACTTAAGCTGTCATCAGAGAAATTTGCCTATGTGAAAGCAGAGACTACATAAAAATCCATTAAAGCTTTTATGATAAGATCTTATATCAATATATCGATCAGTGTGTAATAACAATTTTCTTTATAGGTATAGATCAAATTCATTCTGCGGAGGAGGCAACCACGGTTATAACAACCAGTTTAAGAGCATGGAGGTATGCGCTGCTGTTTATAAACATATTTATCCAGCACCTACTTTGTGATAAGCAATGTCCAAGACTCTTGACTACATCTGGGAATACAGACTAAGATCCCTGGCCTCAAGAAGCCTTTTTTCTAAAAGGAGGATACTGACAGTAGATGTAATGAAAGAATATATTACTTGGTATGTTATGGGAAATAAAGAAAGGAAAGGAGGAAATTAGGAGTATTGGGGGCACCTTGGGAGAAGTATGCAACTTTAAATAAAGTGGAAAGAGTAAGTCTTTGAGGTGACTCTGGAGCACAGACTTGAAGAAGGTGAGGGAATTAACTTCTGAAGTTTTCAAGGAAAATCTGTGCCAGGCAAAAGGAACAACCCCTGTAAAGATCTAGGTTAGGCGTGTATCTGAGTCTATGATATTCTCCTGTAGGTAAAGCTTTATGATTTTTGCAACCTGATTGTCTTATCTAGTTCCATTTGTAACACCCTCTCTCCATCTCTCTATCACACTCTCTGTCATACACACTCAGTTTAAAAAAAAAAAAGCATTAGGTTCTTTATGAATTATGAATATACTGCCTCTGAACATCGTCATGCTGAGCTATATGTCTTTGTAAACATTTGAAAAATCTCTAGAGATAGAGCTTTTCTATCCATTAGGGTACTATATAATAATTTACTGTAAGAGAAACCTATGTCTCCAATTCTTTGATGGTTATCTTAAAAGATATATCTATGTGTGTGTCTGGATATATATATAACTCCATTACCAAAAAGAATTGCTTATCTATGTTTGATACTTCTCTTTTAGGTATTTACAAACTAAAACAATTAAATCTGTTATAAATAATATAATAAAGTTAACATTAATTAATTAAATATAAATTAAAATACAACGGATCCTCCATGGCTGACCACCTACCTACATTGACCTCCTCTTCCAGTTGACCTAATTTTCATAGACCAGACATGTACCACATGTCTGTACCAGTACACTAGGCCCAGTTCCTTCTGTTGACCACATCTGTGTATTGGCCAGTTTGTTACCACCCTTGGCTGGTCAACTTACTAAGGCTTTACTGTATTTAGATATTTTCATCCCAAAAGTAAAGGGGGTTAGGAAGCTGCATAAAATTTAAAACTTATAAATGTCAACATTTTCATCATGTACATATTTGAGCAATGATATGAAAGAATATGAAAAGAATATGCATATGTAATATTATGTATGTATATTGTCCAGATATTATAGAATTATACTGATAATAGTTGCCCACTGTTGCTTCAAAGCAGCTAGAGACAGAGGAATAAACACAGCATGGATTATGTTTGATAAGGATTGGTAAAACATCAGAGGTGAAATGATATGATTTGCAAATCTGAAAACAAATTCTTACAAAGGCCTAATATAAATAGAAGAGTTGTTACAGAAGAAAAATTGTGTCATTTCCTACATTTATTTTTGAGTTTCGGCGACATCCAGTAATCATAATAAAATTACGATCCAGGCTTTCTTTATTGCACATGGACCCAGTTTTAAAAAGAAGACTGAAATTGAACCATTTGAAAACATTGAAGTCTATAACCTAATGTGTGGTAAGTAGATTTGAATAAACTCACCAGCAAAGTGTGCATAGCTTTTACTATAATTTGAAATTGGTGACAAATTGAATTCTGGAGGCTAGATGCTCTGTAGGAAGAAGACAGAAAGTGAGGGAAAAAAAAAAAGACAAGGATGAATTATTTGTTATTCAGAATTAGTAAGCTATAAGAGTAATATTTTTTGTTTGTTTGCTTTACTAGTAATGATAAAGTTTAGAATTCAGGAGATCAAGCTTTTCTATTAGTTACGAAAGGGTAATTAAATAAAATTTAGATAAAAAATTAACACTTCTAATTTTTTAAAGCAGGATAAGCATACTAAAAAGACAAATATTTTCTTGCAATTACAAAGAGAAAGCTTCCTGCGTGAAAAGATGGCAAGAAAGTCCTCTTTGGATAGACATTTGTTATTACAATCAATGTTAAAATCCTTTAAGTCCTTTTAAACCTTAAGGTACTAGGGAGTGTAACCTTTTTCTAGGTAAGTGCTTTCCTCTGGCGGCCGTATTAACAAATCATTTACCTAGGTAAGGCAATGAGTAAGCTGAGGTTTCACTGTTAGCTTTAGAAATTTAGACATAAACACGCTCACTACCATCTCTTTTAACCTGGTCATTGACCTGTGGTAATTGAATGTGACTTAGAGACCAAAAGTATCCATCTAAAAATGGTGTTGTAGCCTTAACAACTTGCATTCTTTGTTCCTTCAACTAGATTTGTGAGCAAGACTACTGGCTCTTTGTGGGGGTGACTGCAAGGAATTAGATAGGACCCCAGTCCTAAGAAAGGTTTATTGCGTGGTAGTCATCTGGAGCCACTTTTAGGGCTATGCTTTTGAAATATCTGTATGTTTTGTTTCCAAAGGAAAAATGAGAAAAAGTCCTCTAAATGTTAAACAAAATTTTAATTAAAAAAAATCTGTCCTTACAGAATTTTCATATAATTGAGTAAATATACTTCAAGTAAGACTATAAATTATTTGACTTCTTTAAATTTGTTATTATTAAGAGCACAGTTTTTTTTAATACTAGAAAACCATGATATACTTAAAGAACCAAACAGTCATTTATATAATGAAGCTTTACTCTAGAGGAAGAGAAACAAATCTGTGAAAGTTGCAGTGATTGTTCCTAGTTTTATTTTTTTCTCTGTTGCCCAGGCTGGCCTCAAACTCTTGGGCTCAGTGATCCTTTTGCTTGAGCCTCCTAAGAAGCTGGGTACAGCTAGTTCCTCTTCTTTTCTTTTTTTTTTTTTTTTTTTGAGACAGAGCCTCAAGCTATCCCCCTGGGTAGAGTGCTATGGCTTCACAGCTCACAGCAACCTCCAACTCCTGGGCTCAAGCAAGTCTCCTGCCTCCGCCTCACAAGTAGCTGGGACCATAGGCACCCGCCACAATGCCCGGCTATTTTTTGGGTGCAGCCATTATTGTTGTTTGGCGGGTCCGGGCTGGATTCAAACCCGCCACCTTAGGTGTATGTGGCTGGCACCTTAGCTACTTGAGCCACAGGCGCCGAGCCAGTTCCTCTTCTTTAGAAAGACTAGATACTGGAAACTATGGGAGTGGAATGTCAGAAAGCTGAACGGCATACGGTGTGTGTAGTAGGTGACTTCATTGCAGCAGACTTTATTAAAAGAGTTTGTTTTTAGCCAGGCGTTGTGGCAGGTGCCTGTAGCTCCTTGGGAGGCTGAGACAAGAGAATTGCTTAAGCCCAAGAGTTGGTGGTTGCTGTGAGCTGTGACAGCACAGCACTCTACTGAGGGTGACATAATGAGATTCTGTCTCAAAAAAAAAAAAAGTTTGTTTTTTCCCCGTCTCCCACATAAGAGTTGTTGCTTTCCGATTTAAAGCTACTTTGAACTTATTTTTTTAAAAAACAGATCTTCTACACATTCAACCAGCACCGAATAATGGAACCCATGGTAGTTTAAACCATCTTCTGAAGGTGCCTTTTTATGATCCAACTCACACAGAGGAAGTGTCAAAGTCTTCTGTTTGTGGCTTTACCACTCCGTTGCCCACAGATCCTCTAGACTGTCTCTGCCCTCAGTTACAAAACGTAAGTAATAACTTGCTGCAGCCATCAGAACGTAAAGGGGCAGGCTGGTCTAAACCAGGGCGGCTGACAACCAGGTTTCTGTTCTGGCTTGAATATTTATTAGTAAACGTATGTGGTTTCTTTGAACTTTATCTGGACATGAGAGATTAAGTATGTGAATGTGATTGGTAAACGAGAAGACACTATTTGTAAAGTAATTGTTAATTTCATTGTGAGCTAACTTTTCTGAACCATTCCAGATGGTGATCTTGGAGCTCTCTTTGATTTCCTTCATAAACCATTCTTCTTAACAGTCTAAGAATCAGATGGTCATGCCTGGTTGTTTAGAGCAGAAAGAACTTGGAAGATACTACAAACTGCTCTTTGACGCACCCACTAGTGTAAGGTGTTGTGTGATATTCCTTTAGTAGCAGCAGAGAATCTGCCAGATAGTTGATACTGTGAAGGTCTTTTTAGTAGATCAGGCGCTGAGCTGAGTTCCAGAGTAGGACTTCAGATCCCAGGGGACTTAACAAAGTGAGGTTCTAGTGCTAGGAGGGGCCCCAAGGGCAAGGGGACAGAACAGGAGCTCAAAATGAAGGGACCAAGTTCACCTGTGAGGGACACCTGAATGGTGTTGGGATTTCAGAAGGAATTTGGAGCCCAGTTATCAGGAGTCCATCAAGCTAAAACTATGTTAGATACATTTGATCAAGTTCAAAATGGGGCTGCAGAGGTAAATAAACACTTGCTGCCTCATGTAAAAATGTCCCCTTATAATCAGGGTTAGGTGAAGACTTTACATTCTCTAGTCCTTAAAATAACATTGTATGGCACAGAAATAATCAACCAAGAAGCTTTAAGACATGGTAGTCTGGTCAAACTTCGCAGTAAAGACCAAATCCATGGCAAATATCAAAGTAAGGGTGTGAGTTTCCCACCTGCTGCTCTTGATAACCTCAATGGAACAGCCATTAAAAAAATAGTAATAGAGCAAAGTGGGTATTTCCCATTTTAGAGATAGAGAGGGCTCAGGGAAGTTTGGTAAATTGTCCAAGGTCGTAGAAGCTTGGTCTCTCTGACTGCAAACCCTAAGTTCTTCTCTGTAAAGAACGCCCCTTGCTACTTACTCAAAGTGTGGCTCCTGCACCGGCACCTCTATCACTCATGAGTTGGCTAGAAATAGAGAATGCCAGGCCCTACCTGGGTTTATTGAATCTGAATCCATATTTTTAACAAACCCCCCAAGTGACTTGTATGCATGTGAAATCTTGAGAAGCTCTGGGTTGTCATCCCAACTATACCACCTATAGTCAGAATGCTTTGCCCCCCCCCCATCAATTAGATCTTTGCATACTCCCACACACATTAAAAAAAGGGCACTGGGGGCATTGCCTGTGGCTCAAAGGAGTAGGGTGCTGGCCCCATATGCCAGAGGTGGCGGATTCAAACCCAGCCCCGGCCAGAAACTGCAAAAAACAAGAACAAAAACAAAAACAAAAAACAGGTGCTGGGGCAGCAATATCTCTGTATTTCTGAGTAGTGGCAGAATCTGATTTTAAACTCAAGTTAGTCTGGCCTCTTTTTTTTTTTTTTTAGACAGAGCCTCAAGCTGTCCCCCTGGGTAGAGTGCCGTGGCATCACAGCTCACAGCAACCTCCAACTCCTGGGCTCAAGCCAGTCTCCTGCCTCCGCCTCCCAAGTAGCTGGGACTACAGGCACCCACCACAACGCCCGGCTATTTTTTGGTTGCAGCCGTCATTGTTGTTTGGCGGGTCCGGGCTGGGAATTCGAACCCGCCACCTTAGGTGTACGTGGCTGGCGCCTTAGCTGGTTGAGCTATAGGCGCTGAGCCTAGTCTGGCCTCTTTATCTGGTAATAAAATACTTTATGTGATTATGACAGGAAATTGTGAATACCCTTCAAAACATGTGTTATTACTTTGACTTACTTCCTCCCCTTCTACTTCTCACTGTCTTGCAGAATTCTCAGCTAGAACAAGTGAATCAAAGGCTAAATCTCAGCGAAGAAGAAAGTAAGTCAATAGAAAACACGTAAGTCTTTGATGTTTAGATTTAAAACACAATATTGCCATCTGGGGATTCTCCAAAATAAACTCACAGAGGCTTTTGAACATGAAGATTTTGTTACCAGTATATAGGAGGGAGGAAAAACGAAACCCACAATAGATCTAATGGGTTAGACATGGGGGTAGTTACAATGTTCCAGGAACATAACACCTTCCTTGAAATACTTATGCCTCATCTGCAGTCCCCTGTTCCCTTTCTTAGATGTAAACGGACTGAGCTGCCTGGATCTGAGTCCCACCTCTGCTGCTTCCTGGCTACTAACCTGTGTGCAAACCACTTAAACTTTCTATGCCTCACTGTTCTCACCTATAACTGTACTCACCTTATGTAGTTACAAACATTAGAAAAGTTAATGCATGGAAAGAATTTGCAGAAGTGCCTGGCCTATAGCAATATTATTATTACCTGTTATCTTTTAAGTATTCTTGAATTAAACTCACCATGTCTCTGTTTCATTGTGTATAAACTGAGGGTACTTTATACAGATGCTATGAAGACTAAATGAGGTAATATACATGTCTGGTCTGCTGTTAAGAGTTTAGTGAATGTGTTAGCTGTTTGATAATCTTCTTATAATCTGCTGGGTATTATTACATAGCATGAATAGCCTGCAATAATTGGTGGATTTTTTTTTTTTTTTTGGTGGTTTTTGGCCGGGGCTGGGTTTGAACCTACCACCTCTGGCATATGGGGACGGTGCCTTACTCCTTTGGGCCACAGGTGCCGCCCTAATTGGTGGATTTTTAAGTTATGGTAGCATGCAAGTTCAAATAAGTAAATCCATCAGGATGCTGTTTAGTCAATCCCAGATGCTATTAAAAAATACCATAGTTTGGGTGGCTTATGAACAATAAAAATCTATTTCTCATAGTTCAGGAGGCTGGGAAGTCCCAGGTCAAGGTTCTAGCAGAATCAGGCTCTGATTAAATATGATAAACATCTGTTAGAGTGTTTGACCCATAATAAGCCTTGGGAAAGTGCTAGTTGTTATATGCACAGAAACATTTGCTGATTTCACAAATCTTTTATTTTATGTTATTTTAATTTTAGTAACAGCAACAATGAAAGTCAATTTGCCATTTGGGAGGCCCAGGGTGGTGCAGAAGAACGTGGACTACTGTCTGCTTTACCACGGGGAATATGTCAGTGGATTTGGCAAAGCTATGAAGATGCCCATGTGGAGCTCATATACATTCCCCCAGCCGGTAAGTCAGAGTCCTCTCATCCATGCAGCCGCCTTTAAAATTCCCACGAGTTGAATTTTGTTTTGCAGCAGGGATTCCAAATCGAGCTCACTGGCCTACTGTAGCTTGTAGGACAATGTCGCGGGTATCAACAGAAAGCTTTTCCTAGGTGCTGTGTGGGGACAAAAGAGGAATACCTTGTGTTTTGCCTGGAGAAAGTAGAAAATGTTTACAGGCCACTTGGCTAATCAGGAAGGGAGATAGAAAAGAACATTTCGAACAGAAGCAACAGAAAGTACAGAGGCACATGATTCATTGGGTATCCCCAAGTATAGGGTGGGTGCCCCTAGAAGATGAAGGTAACTAGATTGTAAAGGGCTTTGTATTTATTTGATCATGTAACACACTTTACCATTTGCTATGTGCTGTGGTCGGCTTAAGAAACACAATGTAATTCAAAGGCAATCCTTTTCTGAAGGATCTAGCACTCTAATAAATCAGGCTAGATTTACATGGATGATGTATTGGATCACAGATCTTTCTAGACAGAGCTTGAGAATCCACTTATTTAGATCCTCTTCCCTCTGGACTATCTGCAAACTCCCTTTCACCAAATGCTGCTAGGACAGTTGACCGCCTATCAGGAAAAAAATATTAGATCCCTACCTTCCACCACACACAAAATTAAATTCCTGGTGGATTGATACACTAAATGGTGCATATCCCTTGTGGTCTTGGGAAAGAGAAGGATTTCCTAGGACACAAGATTAAGCACAACAAAAATACAGAGGAAATTGAATAATCTGACTATGTAAATGTTAACCTGTGACAAAATGACAAAGTTATGGATGGGATGAGAGGTTTGCATTGCATATAAGAAACGAATGATGAGTATGTAGAATAGGACTTAGGATCCAGAAGAGCTAATAAATTTCCACCAATAAACAAGGGAATGACAGGCATTTACTTAATAAATCTGCAAAGGATATCAGGTAAGTATTGAACCTCATTATCAATAAGGAAAATGCAAGTTAAAATGAAGCTTAAAGTCTACCAAAAATCAGTCCAAACACTCCTTCAGGGCAGGGATGGTTTTATTTAATGTATCACCGGGACAGTAGAGGGCCCAGTAAATGTTTATTAAGTGAAATGCACTGGATAAATTAATCCCAATCATTATTTTAAAATCATTATTTCAAAACTATGCTGTCCATGGGTTGGCACCTGTGGCTCAAAGGAGTAGGGCGCCGGCCCCATATGCTGGAGGTGGGGGGTTCAAACCCAGCCTGGCCAAAAACTGCAAAAAAAAAAAAAAGCTATGTTGTCCACCAGAAGTGTAAATAACCAGAAAGTTGTTTGTGCAGGAAAAATCTTCATGTTTTGGATCCAGAGACTGATGACAAACTCTGGCTGAGAGTACCATCTCTTTCATAGAAAGGGAGTGATTGTTTGTATCTGGTTTATCTGCTCTTCTTGTTCCAATTCAAGATTTTTGGAGAAAAATAAGCATATTTTTCTACTACCAATTAAAGCTGTGTATGTTCTGAAAGCCAGCTCCGTTGCTGTGAGTGGTTCAGCTGCGGTCGCTGGTAACAGAGAACTAATGTTGTTTGCTTCCCGATGTGAGCAAATATTTTACCAACAGTTACCCGAGTTCCCACGTAGGGTTGGTGGCACACTACTTTCTTAACATACACAAAGATCGATTGTTTGTGATTTTCTTCAACACGCAACGTTCCTTAAAATAATTTCTATTTTGTTTTTGTTTCTGAGGGCTGCATATTCAAAGTCAGTCTTATTAGTCAATTCTCTATTTTGAAGCATCCAGGTACTAGGTTTTGTGTGGCATTAAAGGGGATGTTTATATTGTGTAATACTTTCCTCTGCTGTCTTGAATTCCTGAATTTATATGAGCTTTGGCGGAAACCAAAGGCAGAGGGATTCTAAATAGGCTCAGACTACGAGTCCAGTACAATTCTTCTTTGTTATCGTTTTAAAACTAGCTGCTTTGTTACCAAAAGTTCCTGTCCTTTCACTGATCCCACAGAATGACTTGTGTATTTCTCCCTCCATGTGACAGGATGGAATTCTAGCAATTTTCTGCTTTCTAATTCAGAAATTACTCTGTTAGTGTGTTGTGGCTCAAGAAAATTACATACAAGGATGTTTGGGGATTCACATAAAAATGTTGTAAATCAGCTCTGTGTTTGAAAAATCAGACTTTAAATAAGCACTTTTTAGACCATGAACCCGATTGGCCTGTGCCTTTAAGTTTTATGGAACTTTTGTTTTTCTGTGGTTTGGGTGGGTTTTCTAACTTTTGTTGTTATCTCAGAAGCCTTGTGGGGAAGTCATGATTTGAAATCATGGTTCTACAACAACTGCATTGAAATCATTAAGTTAGGCTGTACGTGATTTTGCTTCAGGACTTGCTCAGTAGGAAGGTCTGAATAGTTTTCTTTTGTAAGTTAAATATTGAAAATGAGAGCAAGAATTATAACTATTATTTGGAACAGATACTTCTGAATCTAATATGAAATCAAAGGACTGTTTTGGAGGAAGAAAGTCTAGTGTACTTTCAAAAATGCTTCTCTCTTTATCTCTCTCTACACACATGTGTATGTCATACATATTGAATTTTTAAAAAGCCTTTCTTGTTTCTAAGGCTTATCTATGATATTACAAATTATGGCCTAATCATGTTTTGTGCATCTTTAAACACCAGGAAAATGATTATGTGTTGCAAACATTTTTGAACTATGAGAGGTTGTTTTCCCTATAGAAAAAAAAATCACACAACCAGTTAAAAATGTACACAGTTATTATCCTTACCATTTGGTAAGATCATAAATATCTAATCTTCAGATGAATAAGTTTTAGCTTTTACATTAAACCTGCAGGTAAGAAGCATCTATACTTCTGTAAAAATAATTTTTTTTTTTGGAGACAGAGTCTCACTTTATCGCTCTGGGTAGAGTGCTCTGGTGTCACAGCTCGTAGCAATCTCCAACTCCTGGGCTTCAGCGATTCTCTTGCCTCAGCCTTCCAAGTAGCTGGGACTACAGGTGCCCGCCACAACGTCCAGCTATTTTTCGTTGCAGTTTGGCCAGGGCCAGGTTTGAACCCACTCAGTTCAAATTATTTTTTGTCCCCATGCCAGACTAAAAATAAAAGCAGCAGATGTTCCTGTCTGTGCACATCATCTGCTTCTCTGGAGGATTAGAGAGCTAGGGAGTTCAGGGTTTATGTGAGTGTCTGAGTTCTATTTGTTGTTTCTCTGGCTTTCTATCTCTTGGCTTCAAAAATTCCAAGGAACTCTTCTGAAAAGATATCAAAATTGAAGCTGTTTGTATGTCAAGGTGGTGGTGGTGATGGTGGTGATGACAATGGTAGTAATAATAATAGTGGTAGTGATGGTGGTAATGGTGGTGTTGGTGATAAGGGGATGATGGTCCTGGTGGGTATGGTGATGGTGGTGGTGTTGGTGATGGTGATAATGGGATAGTGGTGTTGGTGTTGGTGTTGGTGATGATGGTAGAAGGTAGTAGTGGTCATGGTAGTGTTGATGGTGGAAGGTGATGATGGTGGTCATGGTGATGGTGGTGGTGGTAGTGTTGATGGTGGAAGGTGATGATGGTGGT